TATTATTATTATTACTGCTGAATAGCAGCCTGAACTATTAATAAATATTATCGGAATACACTTATAATTGCAACAGAGTATATAATTTATTGCAAATAATTAATCTTTTAATTCAGATTTCATATTAAGAGTCCCTCTTCGTCACCTAAAGGCCTGTTTTTTTATTTGTATTTGTATTATTATTATTATTTAGTAAAAATAAAAACAATAAAACACTTATTAATATTAAAATGTTGTTGTTGTTGTTGTTGTTTCCGGAGTTCCCAGCATCAGTCTAAATAGGAACCAAACACACTTTCTGCTGCGTTCCAGTCGGACACTTTTAACAGAAGGAACGACGAAAGTGATCCAAGGAGTTTCATTTCTATTTCGATTATAATTAGTTCTCAGTCTCTGATTAATTACGCAAATGGCTGGAGAAGACGATGATTACATGTCTGACGCTTTCCTGAAGCAAATGTGAGTTTAAAACACGTCGTTTGTTGAAATAATATCCCGTCGCTGTCAGAATAAGTGCTTGTGCATTAGAGATAAACACGGACACAAACAAACATTTACATGTTTTTAAATGAGTGGATTATGTGTTTTAGGTTGCTTAGATGAATAACGGTGTGAAGTGATGCTCATCAAAACACAATGTACCATGGTTTTCATTTAAGTGTAAAATTATTGATTTTTTGAAACATAAAATTAGTGTTAATACCGTACACTAAAATTGGTGTAGGATTTACTTTGAAACAAATTTCACTCAGAAATTGCTAGTAGGTTTTACAAATAATTACAAAGAAACACAAGTGAATTGAAATGTTAAAGTAGAAAAACTGAAATAGTGTTTTCTTCAAAAATATATATTTTTTTACAATGTAACACTGTGAGTATGCTTGTCAGTTTGTATCAAGTACAGAAAACAAATACAAATGTTTCAGTTCTGACTTTAAATAACATCTATACTTCCCGATTCTTACAGCTCACATATAAACATGAATCACATTAATGGCTCCTCGCTGTGCCTTACATGCTGTTTTGTTGAATTATTTTGATGCTCTCTACTCAAAAACAGGCCAGATGTTCGGCCTGGCGTCCCGATGGTGAAGCGTGAGAAGGAAGCCTTGAAAAAGGAGGCTCTACAGAAAGAGAAGAATGCACAGAACCGGCAGAAGAGCTACAAAGAGCAGGAGCGAGAGAGTCGAGAGGCCGCACTGCAGAGCTCCATCAGCAGCCAAAATAAAGGCTTCGCGCTACTGCAGAAGATGGGATATAAAGCAGGACAAGGCCTGGGGAAACAGGGTCAGGGATTGGGACTTTTAAATGGACTTTGCTTTTGAAAATAAAAAAAAGTTTGGGGTCAGTAAGATTTTTAATGAAGTCCCTTCTGCTCATCAAGGCTGCATTTATTAGATCAGAAATACAGAAAAAGCAGTAATATTGTGAAATATTATTGCAAATTAAAATAAGGGTTTTCTATTTTAATATACTTTAAACTGTAATTTATTTCTGTGATCAAAGCTGTATTTTCAGCATCATTTCTCCAGTCTTCAGTGTCGCATGATCTTCAGAAATCATTCTAATATGCTGATTTATTATCAGTGTTGAAAACAGTTATGCTGCTTAATATTTTTTTTGGAACCTGTGATACTTTTTCAGGATTATTTAATGAATAAAAAGTTTAAAAGAACAGGATTTATTCAAAATAGAAATATTTTGTAACAATATACACGACCGTTCAAAAGTTTGAGGTCAGTATTTTTTTTCTTTCTTGCTTTTTTTTTTTTGAAAGAAATGCTTTTATTCAGCAAAGATGTGTTAAGTTGATAAAAAGTGATAATAAAGATTCCTATTTTAAATAAATGCTGTTCTTTTTAACTTTATTCTTCAAAGAATCCTGAAAAAAAAGTATCTCAGGTTCTAAAATATATATATATATATATCTCAAGCAGCAAAAACGGTTTCCAATATTGATAATAAATCAGCATATTAGAATGATTTCTGAAGATCATGTGACTCTGAAGACTGGAGTAATGATGCTGAAAATACAGCTTTGATCACAGAAATAAATTACATTTTAAAGTATATTAAAATAGAAAACCCTTATTTTAATTTGCAATAATATTTCACAATATTACTGCTTTTTCTGTATTTCTGATTAAATAAATGCAGCCTTGATGAGCAGAGGAAACTTCTTTAAAACACATTAAAAATCTTACTGATCCCAAACTATTAAACAGCAGTATATATATATATTTATTGTTTTAACATACATTAAAAAATGCTTACAATATCATAACAGAAAATTACTATTCCGTGTTAAAAAAAATCTTTTGAATGTCAAAACGAATGAAAGGAAATGCCAGCACAAACAAAAACACCTCTAATCATCTTCCACAGCGAATTATTAAAACGAAAAGACATTTTAACAATTAAAATGAGCAGAACTGTAGCATTATTAAGATGAATTACGTTACCTTAAGCATCAGTATGATTAGCTCTTCATCTCCTGCGACGAAGAAAACACATTTTAGGAGCTTAGAACCACCGCAAAATGTGTTTTGACACTCGGATAAACGTCTCGGTACACAGCGCACTTACCTCAAGACAGCAAACGTTAAAATACGGTTTCATTTGCAGCTGCAGTGCATTCATTTATTCAGAGTTCACGCTACTGTTCCGTGTTCCGGTCGGAAGTTACGCGGTGAGGACCAACTTCCGGTGACGCTAAATGGGCGGGGCTTTAAAAATAAAATCGGCAAATAAGAGTATGGAGGAAAAAATAATGCATAAAAGATGAAATGTGAATGACAAAAATCTATTCTTATAAACTTTTATTTTCATGCAATTTAGCCACAAATGTATTAATTTGCTATTCATTAAATTAGTAGCAATAAAAATTACAAGTATTTGTCCAAAAATTTATTTCTATGTTTATATACTTATTTTATGTATTTTCGCTTTTAATTATATAGATAAATTAATTATTTAAATTTAGATATCCATATCTTGGAATATACCTAATAATATTGTGCCTTTATGTGGCAGCAGCAGAGAACGACATGATAAAACTGTGTCAGTGATGTACATATAGCTCTTTTTTTTTATCATCTAAAACTAAAGCTCATTTAAGTGGAGTAAAGTGGTCAGACTCACTGCTGTATTCAGATCCATTTATTCCATTCAAGTTGTGTGTTTATTATTAAGCAAACATGTAATCAAACCACCAACTTCCAATGTTCCCACACGAAGAAAAAAGCAACTTAAAGGTGCATACGCAAAATTAAAGTTACTCTCAATGCCTTAAAAAATGACTTCAATTTTGCAATTTAATAGTTCAAATGAATAAGTGCCACACCCCCATTTCATTAAAACCCCTAAGCTGGCATCGTCTGTTATTCAACGTCAATCTACCACCGCTTAAGCATTTGTTCTCATTGTATTTGAGAATTAAGTCTGATTTGATGATTTGAAGACTAAAGGCCAGTGCTAGACAGCTAGTTTTCCAACAACACTTCTTGAAGAAATGAGGATGTCCTTGATGTACTGTGGAGAAAAAAAATAATAATTAAAATTAGAGTACATATTGCTGGTTCCAATTTGTTTCAGTGGCTGATTTACTAATGATCCTGCAAACATCAGATGACATGCTGAAACATACCACAAGCTCACAGAGAGTCGGCATAAAGAGCTGGAGGAGGCAGAAGATCAATGTCTGCAAACTGGAAGCTTTCTGCCTCTCTGTCATGAACACAGGGGTAATTAAAGATGAGACATGATCACACACGGCAGGCTTTGCGGTCACCGTTTCTTTAAATGATGCAAAACTCGATTATTTAGAGATTATTAAGTATTATAAAACGGAGAGTTCCGGTGCTTGATTCTGATTGGCTGAGCCGCGTTCGAAGCTGTTGTAAATTACTCTACAAACATACACCTTTGTTTACTTCTGTGTGTTGCTCGGCAACCACTTTGTTGGAACCACAACTGTTTCTGAGGAACTACATTGTTTGGTGGAAGAATACTGTTTGAATTGTATGAATGTTATTGTACAAGCTAAAAATATAGCGCTGTCAATCAATTCTATTTTAATTTAGATTTTTAACAAAGTTACAAGATATCACAATTAATCGAATCACAATTAATCACATATGCAGAAGACAGGTTAAACATTGAATAAACATGACAAAAAGTGACTTTTGAAAGCTAAATATATCATTTCCATATGGAGCAGGGGAATATACTGACGTGAAAGAAAATAACGAAAGAATATAAGAAATAATAGAACTGGATGTAGATGAGAACCTAGAAAAAGACCTAAAAGTGGCTTTATATCAAATACATTTTTAGAAATTGTGGATATATAGTATTTAAAATGCAAAAATCCAATAGCATTCGCATTTTCATAATTTTCTGCATAAAGGGTTAGTTCACCCAAAAATGAAAATTAGCCCATAAATTACTCACCCTCAAGTCATCCTAGGTGTATATGACTTTCTTCTTTCAGACTAATCTAGTCGGAGGTATATTAAAAATTGTCTTTGATCTTTCAAGCTGTTTCATGGCACTCAGCGGGTGACGCATGCGTAAAGCCGACCTCATACGTCATCCACCCGGAACTGCTTCGGTTTACAACAGTGAGCGCAAGCTACATTAAAGTGATTATTACGTTTTGAATATGGATATTTTTCTTACAAAAACGCATCGATTCGCTACAGAAGGCCTTTGTTCACCCCCCGGAGCCGTGTGAGACACTTTTTTTTATGGATGGGCGCTTTTTATTTAACTTGTTTTGGACTGAAGCATGCAACACCCGCTGAGTGCCATGAAACAGCTTGAAAGATCAAAAACAATTTTTAATATAACTCCGACTGGATTCGTCTGAAAGAAGAAAGTCATATACACCTAGGATGACTTGAGGGTGAGTAATTTATGGGCTAATTTTCATTTTTGGGTGAACTAACCCTTTAATCTCCCTTGTGTTGTGTCAGGTTGCACATAAAAAATATATTGGTTACTACCGAGTATTTCTTTGAATTGTCTTCAAATATTCGTGTGTACAGACAGGACATGAACACATGCTTATGCAGCCGTGTGTTTATCTGTAGCGTCAAACTACTCACTGTGTCTGCATGTCTTCAATACTCCAGTCGCTGAAAGGATGATGAGCAGAAGAGTTGCTATCAACTGAGGAGAGAGGGGAAACATGATGAACAGCCACAATACTCAACACTGAGAGAGTAAAAACACACACTTACACATCTCAGGCATAGAGGTAGCTTTGATCTGACTCCTAGAACGAGAAAAATGAGAAACAACTCTAGAGATCTGTGTAAAATTCAGATGAATAGTTCAGAACCATTTTATGAAGCAAAGTTCAGGCTCACAAATTTTCAGCTGATAGCGACAACGTGTCATCTTCATATATCCATTCTTCACTGTCATCAGTGACTGGATGAACACATAGAAAAGAAAAGAGCTAAACATACACCACATGCACATTTTCTGATAATGTATTGACATGCGTCAGGACATCTGCAGCGGCAGCCCAAAATACTGGCGCCAATGCACTTTTTTCAAATCTACAATTTCATCCAGAAAGTCAAATGAAAACATATTTTGGCATAAACACATATTTATGTCTTTGATGCATAATAAAGTGAAAAGTACAATATACTCACAAAAAAAAAAAAAGTATATTTTTAAACCTATAAGGATGCAAATATCACAACTAAGCAAAAATAAACAATTCATTTGTTGAGAAAATTGTGCATTTAAATAAAGTGCCAATACTTTTGACCGTGACTTTATAAAGAAAAAAATAAAGGAGGAAACTTACAGCTACTTGCAAACACAGGATTCTGATGAGAGGACCTGCAAATATAACACATTTTGAAATTGTCATTGTTGCAGTTAATAGTAATAATAGTTATAATAATTTCGATTTTATCATGAGATGCAATAAGTAACACTTCAGTTTTGGGAAGCAACATTGTATGGACATTGAATTCCTTTTAGTCACTATAGTGATTATCCATAATCAAGAATTAAAAACTATACACATTTATGATGTGCATATTCTAGGGTTAAGTGTCCTGTCACTAGCCAAAAAGTTATAAGCAACTGTACATAGATTTTACACTTTTCCTAAAATTATCATGCTTCAAAAATTTGTATATTATTGATATTAACCCAAGCAGCCAATCCATGGTCTAACTTGTTAGTTAATGCATATAATGCATGTTTTTCTAGGTATGAATATGTTGATTATTGTACCGTAGGTTCATTTTGTTCTTTACCTGCTGCTGACACTAAGGTCATCTCCATTGGTTTGGCCTCGGCCGGCAGCCTGTGATACCTTTTTTCCGAGCTCAAGCATCTCCTTAATGTTCAACTCCACATTCATCACAGATATGTAGCCATCTATAACACGAAAACAGAATAAAGACATTTGCCTGCCAACTAGGGGTGTGAATCGTCACTGGTTTCACGATTCGATTATCAAGTCAACGATTCGATATCACGATGCATCACGATTATATAAAATTTGTTTTGTGCATTTTTATTCAATTATATATGCACGCTAACTTTTTTTAAATAATTACAAATTAATAATAAATCAAAACAATTAAGATCTTAACCAAATAAATATAGCTTCAAAACATACAAGCAAATATAAAGGGGGAAAAAGACAATTAAAAGTGATAAACAAAAAGTACTTTCAGTATCTGAGAGTGCGTGTTAAGCATCCGAAAGTTCACAGACAATTACAGTTATGGGTTTTTCTTTATTGCCGTTTGATTATTACTGAGATCATAGACGGTGGCTGCATTCACACTAATGCACAGATCTATTTCAACATATCAGATGTGTTGTCCAGTTCTGAAAACATAACTGACTGTTTACATCAATTTCGTATCATAAATGTATTCAGAGATGCATTTAACCGCTGCCGCGATCGAGCTTCAGGACAAACAAACACAAAGCAAACGTGAAAGTCTGTCAGTAGCCTACGCGAGTTTCGTGCATCAATGAAAGCACATCTAAAATAAGACACTGAAATAACGGCGCGTGGAAGCACAGAGTCAAGCAATGCACACGTGTCTCACAGCGCATATCCAGTGCAATGAAGCCCGCAGCGATCGTCTCTAGCGCACACACGCGCCATATGCGGGAAAAAGCTCAGAGCATGTTTTTTTTTTCCCCACACTAAGCTTTGTTTATTCCAAAATGTGCACAGATCTCGGATTTAAAAATAGTGGGTGCATTTTTTAATACTCGCGTGACAAGCGCGTATGTGAATGACGTCAGTAGGCTATAATCGACGGTCTATTACTGCATCGATGCAGAGTCGTCCACGTCCGCATCACAATGCATCGATTGATTTCAACACAAGTGAAGCTGTATCAGCAACAAGAGTGATTTTAAATGAACCCATGTCAGAGATTTTCTAGGGTGAACTCGGATAAACTGGGTTGTTTCTGAACTTAATTCATCCTAAAGAGTGCTCTGCATGATTGAGACATCTTCAGGAACGTCTCACATTTGTTGTTGGCGTCTCTGGCTAGCCATTTGCCCTTGGGGCAGCTGACCGTTCGGATGATGCTGATGAGATCTCCACTTTTGACGGGCAGGTCGTACTTTCGCAGTTTGCTGTCCGCCAGCACTCTGGCATGATACATGGGCTCTTCCAGTCCAGTGATCTAATGAGAAACACATCAGGAACTACATTCACTTAAACGT